ATCAGCATAGCTTTGGCTTGTTCATACTCAGCTTTTGTTCATGTGCCATCAATTAGTCATGACCAAAAACTGACATTTCCTGACAGTTAACACTTTCCTGCATTCAGAAACATTTTCATTTGCAAGTTGAATCCGTATTTGTTGTCATGCTTTACATGGGCTTAGTGTAAGATCTGAAGTATGTGAATTTACAATGATATATTCAGGTAGAAAGGAAAAGGAAGTCCTAGACAAAAATTAGTTTTCTCATCAATAAAATGGGAATTTACTTCAAAGTTATTGTGCAGTTAAACATATGCATTTCTTCTTTAACTTAATTGGAAGGCATAATTGGTCAACTCTTTAGTAGATTTTAATGTCATATATATTCCAGTATTTCAATTCTTTATAGCACTCATTTGTTATTTAATGATATTTGACAAGATAGAACTGAATTTTTTTTCTGTTTTTTTAATATGAAATACTTAATACATACAAGAGCATATACGTGAAGTATAAAGAAAAAGAATAGAAGATACAATATGTGCCTAACACTGAAAAATAAAACATATTCAGTACTTTTCAGGTCCAGAGCTTGAAAATTTTCATTTCTGCATGAAAAAAATATGTATTCCACCACTGAGGACAATAAATATGTACGAACAAGTATTATATTCAATAAGCTTAACAAGCTTATTCTACTGGACAGATATATACATATATACATATAAAGTTCTTAATTATGTTTTTCAAATATCCTCTGTCATTATTTATTTTTGGTCTGTCTGGTCTGTCAATTATAGAGAGAAAGGTCTGTAAAAGTATCCTACTATGAAGGTGGATTTCTCTCCCTTAGTAGTTTTATCATTTTTGGGCTTCATATATTATTATATGCAATTAAGTTTAGAATTGTCTTGTACAAAATGAAATGAATAATTTTTAAATAACAAATTACCCTTTTTATCTTTAGTAATGCTTTTTGCCATAAATATTACCTCAATATTTTACTCTTGTTATCCTTAGTCTTTCACTGGGATATATTGTTTTCATTCTTTTATTTCAAACATCCTTCATAGTTTGGGTATATTTCTTCTAAACCTAATTTAGGTAAATTTTTAAAATCTAACATGTTGAGTTTTGTCTTTTAATGATGCTGCAGTCCATTATATACATTGTGACTCCAGATGTATGTTGGATTGTTTGTACCATTGTTTGCCATAATTTCTAATTGCCCTGCTTTCTCTGTGTTTGTTCATTTGTTTCAATTCTTATATTCTGTGGATTGACTGTTTCTTCATTCCATGTTTTTCCACAGGTTTGCATATCATACACTCTATTTCAATTATTTTTGGTAGTTAGCTAACTACAGTGTTAATTTTGTTCACTTGTGTAAAAGTTAAAGCTGAAGTTCTTGGTCACAGACCCTCAGTACATGTCCCAGGGACAGTGGTCTGCTTCAGAGCTACACTCCATCTCTGAATTACTGCCACCATTTCATTTTCTCCTGTGAAGATCTCCATACGTTCTCCCCAAATCAAATAGGAATTAAAGCTTTTCTTTTAGGGGTACCTGGGGTGGCTCAGTAGGTTAAGTTCTGACTTAAGTTCACTCTTGGTTTCAGCTAAGGTTGTGATTTCATGGTTCATGAGTTCAAGACCCTCATTGAGCTTTTTGTGCTGACAGTGTGGAGCCTGCTTGGGTTTTCTCTGCCTCCTCTCTCTCTGTCCTTTCCCTACTTGTGCTCAATCTCTCTCTCAAAATAAATAAACATTTTTTTAAAAAAGTTATTCCTTTAAGTATCCAGTATTTTCAACATTTTGTGGCAGCAAGCTTTTTCAGGATGTATAGTCTTCACTATGAAGTTGTTCTTTTCTCAAAATGGACTAAGAAAAAAGTATTTGTATATGACTTTTCCAGTGAGTGTCTATTGGCTACTACTAAGGAGAAATATGTCTTAACTATCTTGCCAAACTATGCATTTCTAATGCTATTTACTGCTCAGTAGAAGAAAGGTGTCATGTATAGAAATACTCATAGTATATGGTTTTTAAAAAAAGAAAATACAACTAGAACTAAATGCCCTATGAGTGACCAAAAAAAATACTATGGGATTGTAGCAGAGTAAGTTTTTATCTCACTGGTCAGTGCCCTGCACATATTTATTATTAAAAAAGGCCCCTTTTGATTGGGTCCTATAGGATGGATAAAAGTCTTTTATGTTTGATTTTTTTTAAGTTTATTTATTTATTTTGAGAGAGATGGTGACAGCACACGTGGAGGAGGGGCAGAGACAGAGGGAGAGAGAGAGAATCCCTACCAGGCTCCACGCTGCCAGCGCAGAGCGTGACACAGAGCTCAAACTCAACGAAACCATGAGATCATGATCTGAGCCAAAACCAAGAGTCAGATACTTAACTGACTGAGTCACCCAGGAGCCCCAGTGTTTGAATTTTTAAAGAACCATGGATATTCAAACCACTATATGTCAGTATAAAGCATATACTAAATCAGGAGATGATAGTCTGGCCCCCGGGTCCAATCTGGTTTACCATCTGTTTTGGTAATAAAGTTTTATTGGAACATAGCCACACTTATTATGCTTATTATTTACATATTACCTATGCTACTTTCATGTTACAATAGAGTTGTGTAGTTGTGAAATAGATTATATGGCCCACAAAGTCTAACATATTTACAATCTGGCCTTTTACTGGAAAGTTTGCCAACACCCATACCATATCATGTGCTGTATTACAAAGTTTATAAGGAAGCTTTTTCCTTTGCCTAGCTTTGCATTTATATTTACTTAAATAAATTTCATTTGATGGTTCTCACAATAAATACTTACTCATGCCCTTCCTCTATGCTTAGAGTTTGTATCTGTTTGTTTGATTAGAGATATTTCCTTGCTCCCACTCCTTAATAGTTATTTTCTTTACTAGAAACCTTTAAGATTTCCAATGCTATTTTGTAAGGTTACTTTTGAAATAGTAGATATCCACAGTTGTTTTCTAACAACTTGAGCCTAGATTAATGGTACTTAAATTACAAAACGTTCAGTGTATCAAACAGTGTCATTCTGCAAGCCATTCAGATATTCTTGCTTTCATTAAATATAATATTACTATTTCTATGAACTGCAATTAGCTAGCCTTTAAATTGGGGAGGACTTCAGAGTATAAACATTTTATTTCCTAGTGCAAGTATGTTTGCTATTAAGCAGAAAAACTGTCAATTGACAAAGCAGGAAAGGGACTTATAATTTTTAAAGTAATCATTAAAATTCTTCTCAAGAGCTGTTGATGTTAAAAGAAAAATACCAGACACCCTTAGACATAACTTATTTGATTCTGTTTTCAGGGAGTACCAGTTCTTACCGATATATTAGGTGTAGAGAATCAAGCTAACTGCCTGTATAAACAATGGCATGTGTGTGTACTCTGTGTCCTAGGGAATACTCATATCCAGCACACTCATTCAGGTACAGAGATGAGTTTCCTAGGAGTTTCTCCATTGTTGTAATGACTATTGACTAGACCTGGGACAACTCTCTCGGTTCTCATTTACGAAACTAAGGCATCCTTTCACTGGAGATTCACTGAATGTCATGGTGTTCTGTACAGAACAGCGAATAGTTTCTATTTGTAGCAGTTTAAGATTGAGGGATTAAGGCTGAAGAGGAGGGGAGGAGACTTGAATCATATTAAATGTGAACATTCTTATGGCAAATGGTTTACCTCAACAACTTTGGTTGCATCCATTAAATAAAGAGTGGTAGCAACTCTCATGCATATAACCTGACAGAGTTCAAAATTGAGGTATGTAAAAATCTGAATATTTGCAAGGTGTGGTTTAAAACTTTTCACATATTGTGGAAGGACTAGTGAGCTCAATTATAATGCATAAAGTGATTTTTTATATACTATATGAAATCAGATACTTGATATTAAATACATAAATAATCTCCAAGAATAGGGGTAAAGGGAGATATTTTGTGGAAGACAAATTGCATAGCATTGTAATTTATATAAGGTTTATTTATTTTTTTAATGTTTTTTTATTTATTTCTAGGAGAGAGAGAGAGACAGCGTGAGCAGGGGAGGGTCAAAGAGAGAGAGAGTCACAGACTCTGAAACAGCCTCCAGGCTCTGAGCTGGTAGTCAGCACAGAGCCCGACGCGGGGCTCGAACCCACAAACCGCGAGATCATGACCTAAACGAAAGTCGGACACTTAACCGACTAAGCCACCCAGGGCCTATAAGGTTTATTTTTGAGAGAGAGAGAAATGTGTGAGCAGGGGAGGGCCAGAGAGACAAGGAGAGAGAGAATCCCAAAGCAGGCTCTGTACTATCACCACAGAGCCCAATGTGCACCTCGAACTCACAAAACTGTGAGGTCACAACCTGAGCCAAAACCTGATCACGACCTGGATGCTTAACCAATGAACCACCCAAGTGCCCCTATAACTTAAAACAGTATTTTTCCAAGTATACATCATGCTCAAATAGTGGGTCATGGAATCAATTTCTGTGACAAACTTTTTTTTTTTAGACTGTAATCAGTATTAAAATAGGATGAGATAGACTATCAGAGTACATCATATATAGTTAGCTTATTTTGTACAACTTTTCATCAATTGTATACACACATGAATGTAGTTGTAAAGTGTTGAGTTCCCCAATCCAAATACTTTGAAAGCTATTTGTCTAAAAGAAACAGAGACATGGAGTGCATATATGAATTCCACTTTGGGGAACAAAACCATGGTTATATGGAGTCCATTTTGTATATGTTTCATTGCTAGTAAACAAAACTGGGACTAATGAATTACATGCTAATACATTTTTTTACCATTGGCCTTTTACTGGAAAGTTTGACTAGTGGAAAGGTAAGAGTAGTGGGAAAAATCACTTTGAATGTTTTGGTTTCATTCAAATAGCTGTATTTCTGTTAGGAAAAATTGTTTTTGTCTTTGTCTTCTGTCATTTACTTAGTTCGCTACTGATTTCTCTTTTACCCAGGAGATTGCATCAACAATTTGAAAGCTATAAAGAACAAGTGAGGAAGATAGGGGAAGAAGCACGGCGTTACCAGGGAGAGCACAAAGATGATGCTCCGACTTGTGGAATCTGTCACAAAACAAAGTTTGCTGATGGGTGCGGCCATCTCTGCTCCTACTGCCGCACCAAGTTCTGCGCCCGCTGTGGAGGCCGCGTGTCTCTGCGATCCAACAACGTGAGTGTTCCCTGAGCCTGAGAGGTGCTCTGAAAGCTGGTAAAAAGCAGCACACCTCCCAAGCAGAAAATATACATGTGTTGGAAAGTAGACACAGGCATAAATGTACACATTAATATGCCCCTTCCCATTTTCTGTTTTTCCGTAGTTTCATAGTAGTGGAGTAGTGATGAAATCATAAAAAGATGCTTTCCATATGCATCTTAATAAATGATTCCCATTCAAAATCAACAGATTATCTGTGGGAGTAAATTTATTTTCTGTAGAATGCAGTAAAGGTAGATTTAGTATCATGAACTAGAAAACTCTTAAAAGTTGTTATGGCCAGTTCTCATAAAAAGAAAAAAAAGACCTCTCAGTTTCTACCACATTTGTTTCAGACTGAATGCAGGTTAAATGTAAGGTAAACTGTAGCATTAAATGTAACCCAAGACAATATATATAAAGCAACGATTAGCTTCCATGAGAGTAATTTCCTATTTACTGTTGTGGTAAAGTAGTGTAGTGCTAAGTTTCTCTCATGGAAACTATTTCAATATTTAAAGAGTATGTCAAAATACCCTTTTTTAAATTTGGGGGGATGTTTGTACTTATTATCTTCTCTATGAGATATAGTGTCACCTAATGCAGTTTCCTTATTTGGCTTAAATCAGAGCTAGCCTTCTGTTATGCTAGTGCTTTAAATATATACAATTTTTGAGGCACTGGGATGCTCATTTAAGAGAACTAAATATGATTATTTATGAGGTACTAGATAAATTCTAATAGTTTAGAATACATTTTAATGTACTTTATTATATTCCCTGTCTTAATATGGTAGAATTATTTGTTGAGATGTCTGGGTGAGTTTTCTTTGCTATAGGTCTGCAGTGTAATATAGAACGGTTAAGATTATCATATACGTAAAGAATTCCCAGTGTTTCTCTAAAGTAATTTCATATGTTACCAATATGCAGTGTAACATAGTACAAAGTTATATTTAAAAATAATATGGATGCTTTATGCACTCTTGATATTTTCCTAATTGAGAAAAGCATGGCTAAAATTAAAATCAATCTCCCTATCAGCATTGCGTTCATTGGTAGTGTATTTGAATTGCAAGTAGGGTATTCTAAATATCCCTTCTAGTGGAATTAAGATATTCAGTAAAAATGAAATATTTTGAGGTGAGCCCACTGTTATCTTTGTGGCCTTGGGAAAATAATTGACTTTCCTGAACATCTTCTTATCTATGAAAGTGAATAGTAATAATTACTGTATATGATTATTATGATAATTAAATTAAAATCTAGGTCTTTATGATATATATTCAAGTTTTCTTTAGGTGCCATTCTGATGACCACAAAAGTTTTCCTCTTTTCCTCCTGAAGGTTCTTTAGTTAATTATCATATGTTACATCAAGGCCTTTTTAAAACAACCTTGGATTAAAATAGTATCTGGCACATAAAAAGGTATACAAGAACTGTTTGTTAACTTTGTCTTCTTTAGTGTTCTTAAACACACCCTTTTGGAATGAACTCTCACAGATGAGACCTGGGAATGATATTCAAAATATTTAACAAACAAACAAAATATTTAACAAACCATTTGGTGAAAAGTGCTGGCAGTATGTAGTAGTGTGCAAATCAGCAGGGTAGAAATGCTGACTGAGCACCCATTGCTGTTGAATGGTTTTAACTTCCCATCGAAGGTTTGAGGAAAACTGATAACAATATAGTTAACCATTGAAATATTAAAATTACCTGGATTAATCTCATGTTTAAAGGAAACTGAGCTAAGAGGTATCTCTGCTTTGGAGACACCCAAACCTAATGTAGTCTTATCTGTCTCTACTAAGCCCATCCAATTTGGACAAAATATTCAGAAGAACAAAATAAAGGAAGGCATCAGTTTAAGGCACGAGACAAAAATATTGTGTGAATATATTGTGTTGTTTTTTTCCTATAACATTATAAGTGTTGAAGTGTATATATTACACATAAATATTGCTTGTGGAATAATTTATGGCTACAATAGTTAATATCTTTTTTCTCATTTTTATTCCTTACAAATATTCCTAGTCTTAGATTTTCCCAAATTGTAACTATAAATATTTTAACAGTAATTTGATAAAATTAGTCATATAATTTTATGCATTTTAATAAAATGTGTTTTTGGTAATAGGAAGACTAAATATAATCGTGAATTAAAATCTCTTTCTAAAAAAATGTTTTAAATATAGATGTTATCATCTAAGTTCTAAAACCCTTGGAAATTATAGTGCCCAATTTTCATATCCACTATAGTAGAATTAGTATACATGTATTTTCAATGAAAGCTTGAACAATGAGTATTTGGGGGAAGAGTAAACATTTGCTATGCTTATAAATACTTGTGTTTGAACACTTTAAAAATAATACATAATTGTTTTCTTAAAATCTATATATTAATATATGCCTTATTTTTGTTTTTCTTTTCTTCTTTCTCCTCTCTTTTTATTCTGCTTCCTTGGATGCTTTCCCAAAGGAGGACAAAGTGGTTAGAATCCATGCTTTCTTTTCTATCATTTGTTATAATGTTGTGAATTTTATTAAGCGAATGTTTTACCTAGTGATGTCAGTCACTCTACTTTCACAAAGAAATTATATGCTAGGAAAAGATCATTCCCAGTTCTCATGGGAAAAAAAAATAAAATGCAAATCTAGGGGCATTACAGAGTTTTATTATTAATAGGTAAAGTCCAAATAGTTAAAATTCATGGAAACAGTGGTATTTAGAATAGAATTTAAATCATTATGAACCAGTTTGTCCTCTTAGCTTTCTGAGTTTTGATGATGATTCCATCTGCAATAAACAATAAACTGCAATGAAACAATAAATCCCAATGGGTTGTACCTTTCTCAGCACTCGGTAGATGCATAGACAGGTGATCTAAAATTTTATTGCAGAAGGAATTGAATGTACTGAGTTAGCAGCAAGACTGAATCAAATCAAATAAAAAGCTCAAAATTAAATGACTTTTCTGTAGAACACAGGTAGCAGAATTGCCATATTGAACCACATTTTGCCCCCCCCCCTTTTTTTTTTCTCTCTCATGCATAGAAATCAATTCCCTAGAGTGGTGAAGGGTCATTCTTCATTCTTATCAGATATAGAAACCACAGAGGCTGGGCTTAGGAAGATAGAATCCAAGTAGTCAACCTGTCTTTTGTATACAAATTATATAATTTCATGTGGTATAAATTACAATTTCCCAAAGCTCAGTAATTTCTCAACATGAGACTGAGGCAATACGTGTTTTGGGTTCAATATATCAACTCAGCTGCCTTTGTTCAACTGTTTTAAAGTTTAAATGATGTACTGCAGTGCAAAAGTAGCAAGACATTAAAGTGAACATTAATCTGTGTTTTTAATCTTGATGCTAATATATGTTCATCAGGTTTTTTTGTTTGTGAGAAAGAAATTAGGTTGAAAATTATATAGTTTAGTTTGTTTGCACTAAATGTGTTTTCCTGTACCATTCATGGCATGTGAGATCATCTTAGGGGTTCTTATTTTAATGCAATAATGTACTATTTTAGAAAAATACATATAACTACAATATCACAACTTTGGTATATGAATATTATTTTGAGGGAGTCTGCATTTGAAATGTAGATAATTTTAAATTCCTTTAAAGAATAAAAATTTAAGTAAATAATAATGCTGTTGTTAATAGACCTGATGATAAGACTTTAGCCACTCCTGTAGGGCTGGGCAGACCCATTGTCCCTTTGGCAATACTTCCCGTAATGGTAGGTTGTTTGTGCTTTTTGTGATTCCCTGTCTCTGTAATGAGAATTCAGGTGGATTTTGTGGTTTTCAGGCTAGAAATGGAGTGGAAAGACCTATAAAATACAATCATTTTCAGTTATTTTCTTTATTTTAATTAGAATGCATACATATACCATTTATTTTTAAGTACTTTGTCATAATTTCATTTAAAAACCTTTTTAACCTATTGAGGTTATTCAGAGACTTGCCTTTTTAGTTTAGGGAAACTGAAGCCAGAATTTGTTTTAGTTGTATTAAAGAGAATAACTGAATATTAAAGCCCTTGATTGTTGGTTCTTTCCCTGTTTCTCTGAGCTCTTTATTTTTGGTAAAGAAATTATAATTTATAGGTGTGTATGTGTGTATGTGTTGGTATGAATGAGAAGGGAAGAGGGATAAGAGTGAATAAAACTTTCCTAAATGTAATCTACATCTTGATGAATATAATAATAATGAATTCTAATTTGTCTGTTATATTGGTGAATAAATATGACTAAAATACTAATGTGTATGATATGACCTAAGGATAGCTAACATACAAATATTCCTCTTATTAAGTCTGGCAAAAAGTATTACTGAGTATTTTTTTGCAGGCTGGAAGTATTTTATTTTAAAATTTCACTCTTAGCTTAAATCACCTCTAATAATAACTTGAAAGATCATGTAGTTGCTTATGGCTGTCATAAAAAAAATCACTTTGCAATTGACACATGTAATAGCTTATAATAAGAGAGTATTTGATATAAGTGTATACTCTCATAGGTAAGATTATGGTTATTCATTTCACTGAATGACGACCTCTTCCATACCTAAATAAATAGGGATAGTACAAAATTCTCCACAGTCTGTTTAAGTTACTTTTGACTTTCATCTTACTCTCTTTTTGGTGCTAGAGTATGGAATTTAGGTAACTCCTTTGGTAACATTAACACTTGCTGTTGATAAGTCAGCTTCCTTGAATCCTTCAAGTTCAATTCCTTTGGGGTTTCCCGTAAATTTTCATCAGTATTTCTTTTTTAGTGGATGAATGGATTGGTTTACAAATATAGCAACTAAAAAATGAACTTGCTACACTTCTAATCTTTATTTTCACAAAATGTGTCAGATTTTATAAGTTAAGATGTCAGCAATACCCTGAAAAACAGACACCCACTATATATTTACTCATTCTTTCCAAATGTGAAGGCCGCATATACCTTATAAGCATCATGTGTGAAAAAATACTCTTTTATATCAAGATAATAACTGAGGTACTATGTTTACAGAATCGCGATTTTTTAAACAGGCTCCTCACAGCTTTCATTAGTGGTTGTTTTTAGAAATCACGCTAAAAGATATGTTCATGGAGGAAGTATGTTTTTGTAGAAAAGGTTCATAAAATGTAGGGGTTGGATAGAATAGGGCAGTACTGACTGTGTTTGGAACTGGTTTTATCATAAAGTGTTGCCTGTGGGATAATTGATTCTTAATGGTACAAAGAACTTTGCCCTCTCAGATTCTGCTGTTAAATACCAAAATGATGATTTTGGTTTTCTTCTCTTACTAGGGTTAGATAAAAACAAGCAAGTTAGTAAAATCAACTGCATTAAAAAATGATTTGCATGATTGTTTTCAGTGTTTATTTTTATTACAAGAAATCTCTTAAGAGTTTTCCATATTTAGTCCATGGCATGATGAAGCATCTGATCATAATTTTCAACCTTTGCTCTTTTGAAAAAAGGACTGTTAGAGTGTGCCTAGACTCACTTTCCTGTTCTTGGTCTTTCTTTTTTTTCCTTTTATATTTTTGTTTTTATTTATTTTTTAGATAATTTGATGATGGCTTTTTCTGCAAGAATATTCTCTTAGAGTTTCTTCCCAGAAAGATAATATAAGCCTAGATTAAAAACATAAAATATGGACAAACATATCAATAAGGAACTGTTAAGATGCACCAAGGGGAGAACTTTTATTAAGCAATTTAGTTGATTGGATTTCTCAAGGCATTTCTTATTTTTCTGTGTGTATCCTACAGGGGAGTCACACATCACGTTTTAAAAACTATTGTGTTAGATAATTCAGAAAGTGGTAAATTTTTTATTTCAAATTTGTTTTAGGAATTTACTACACTCTTTTTCAAGGGCATGGAATCTTAATCTCTTGCACTTAGCATTACTATTCTGGGAATGTTTCTCAATATTCAATAATCATTAGGAAGCTTGTAATCTTGGTTTTTCTCTACCCCAAAATATTTAATGCACTAATAAAACTTCTTTCGGGAAATTACCATTTCACAAATCAATGTTAAATACAGATGCATAGTAAGACAAAGAGAGTTCCACTAGAGTATAGAAAAATTAGCCTCCTATAGTATAAGGAAAAGGGCTATGGTAAAAACAGCTTTCACAAAGCTGAAGACTAAACTATGGATGAACTCCCTGGTTTTTGTAAACATAAGTTGTCAGACCTCTTGTTTATATATCTAGAAGTTGATTTACTGAGTCATTTAATTGCCCTATGATTAAGATTTTGTGGAATTGACAAACTGTTTTCCCGAACAGCTACACAGCAGGTTTTAAGCATTCCAATTTTTTCACACCTATCAATACTTATTATTGTCTGTATTTTTAAGCCATTCTTGTTGCATGTCAAGTGATATAGTATCTCATCATGCTTTTTATGAAACGATTTTTAAGTCAAAATTACTAAACTGGTTTGATATCTCCTAGGATTCATTTTGATTGTGTGGATTTAGATTCTTACATAAAAATGCTTCTATGTTAGCAATTTCTCGAGAAAGTTTTTTTCTTAAAAGGCTAGCATATTCGAAGTATTAAAAGTTCAGTTTCTTCATTCTCTAGGGATTCTTTATATCCTTTCTGTTAGAATTATGTAAGTATTTATTAATATATATGAATCAGAACAGGAGCTCTGTTGAATTTAAGATAACTTAGAATCTAATATCTGTCTGTCTAGACTAGCTATCCCTAGGGTACACACAAGTAAGAGATTTTTTATTGCCAGTTGAAAAGACTATTTTTTTTAAATATGCAGGAGGAACTACCAGCTTCAGCAGATTTACCACTCAGCCATAGGTCCAAAGTTAACACACAAACTGAAGCCCAGAATGAAAGGACTGTTCTTCTTTCTCTGTGTATGAGATATTTTCTTGAGGGAAGTGAGCTTTTAGTAGCATGCAATCAGATACACGTAAAGACTAAGTAACAACCATATTTTCTTTCATCTGCCACCCAGCATTCAATATATTCCTGATGTCTGCCATCCAACAGATTTCATTAGTAGATAGATTCCCTATTATTGTGACCACCAGTGGGAAGTGTATTATTAGTCACAAACAGAGCCTGTTTTGTCTGTTATTACTAAAGTCACTCTGGCTCTATTATGGCAGCTGTTTACATAGTATATCCCTTTATATCCTTTTAATTTTACCTACTTTTATCTTCGAATCTAACATGTGTCTTATATTAACAACATATACATAGGTCTTGTTATTTACTTACTTATTTATTCTTATTTTAAAGATAACTTGACAATCTCTGCCTTTGTGATTGGATGTTTAGTTCATTCATATTTAATAATATTAATATGGTTGTATTTGTCTTTTATTTTCATTTTTTGTTCCTCCAATCCTTTACTGCGTTCTTCTACATTAAATGAGTATTTTCTAGTCATATTTTAATATTTCAGTGATTTTTTTCAATACACTTTCTGAGTTATTTTCTTCA